CGGGGCCACTTTAAGAGATCGTGATAATAGTTCTACTAGTTAAGGCGTTCGTTGCAAATACTGCACATTGTTGTAAGAATTATGTACCATGTGATATGCCATCCATTGCCTGGGGCCGTCCACCGTCTGTATTCGTTTCATAACAACGAGATTAAAACAATCGAATTTATAGCCAATTTAACGAATTCGAAGAGTACCTCACATATTTTATCTATACTAGTATTCGCTCACGGCTCTGACTAGGTTTAGGCAAAATTGCTTATACCAGGTAGTTGATTGGTTGCGTTCTTGGCATTTATGGTGCCCCTGCGTAGCGGCGACTTCGATAGTCAACTTTCTTGGACAGTATTAAAAGATAATACTCCAATTTTTTTATTGCCTGTGTAGGCAGATGAGCATAATAATATGGCCCACCTGATGGTGAGTGGATACTGTCGCCCATGGACTTCAGCAATGCCAGGGGCAGAGCCAAGCCGCTGCCTACCGAACTAATAAAATAATAAATAGACCATAAGATTCACATAAAAAGGATGTTCAATTATCGTTGCGGCTGTCGTTGTGAAATAATATTTACTTTCTGCGAATGTAAAAGTATGTACTGAGAAAATACTTGAGTTGAATCATTCTGCGCCAGATAGGTATTCAATTGGTGATATTTACTGATCACGTGAGTCATCTGCGCTTTGCGAAGGTATATACTTGTACGTTATACAATGTGCCGATTAGGGCTGCCACAGATGTCCTTATTTATTACGATTTAATTTATTAGTCAATGATAATTATGTTTTTAAGCTGTTTCTTAATTTGCTTAAGTTTAATTTCACAGTTCATAGACTATGTAGCCTAAATATCACTTTCCACCTTGAAACATAAGATTGAGTTCAAAATTTTTTTTGGCGTGCGTAAAGGCCACGTTATGCTGCATTATTACTTTCCAGCAGAAATATATAGGTGTACCGTTCCCACAGTCTTGCAAGTTTAAAAGTGAATTAAAGGAGTAACAATAGAAGATTTTTTGAAAATTCTTCTGCCATGAACAGATGACATGGAAGTAATAGCTGTAGCTTGAGAAGGCCACGATCACATTCCCTTAACAGTTAAGTGATTAAACTATTCATTAATAAAGTTAATAGCCCCTATTGTCAAAGTTATTCCTTGACAACTTTTCCTATTATTTTCAATACTAAAACGACAAACTCATTTTATAAATAGGAACCGTTGGCAAGATAATGTTAGTTCCTAGTGTTTACACAGTACTAGCTCTTTGATCTGAGTATGTAAACGTGCACTATATGCATACATACATATGTACAGGCTTGTCTCTTGACTGTATTAGTGAACTATACAACATTCTAGAATTTAATTTTAAAATCATTCAATGTACCCTTAACAAATTCGGGCGCCAAAAACTTACTGATTTAATTTAAGCTTTCTAAAAATCTAGTATGTATATTTTATACGATTGAAAACTTAAAGATTCCAAATTTATTGATGTAGTTCTTACCGTAAATTTCACAAAAATTCTGATATTTAAAAAGGAAAATCGAAATTGGGTGATTTGTTACTAATAGTAATAACAATGAGAATATAGTTCGTTATGTAGATACCTATTTCGTTTTACAAGAGTTGTGGTTACATTAGGTATCGATAAAATTAACAGTTTTTTGTAGTACGAATTTATGTAGAATGTCGATTGGGAAACTGGAATTTAGAATTAATAGGTAATCGAGTGATGCTTCAATCAAGCTTAATGTGCCTAATTGTGTCTCATTTAAAAACTATGACAGTATTTAGAAAAACGAATTTTCCCAACATTCTACACCTCACAAAAACATGGGTACCTTGTTATAATATGTTCATAAACATCATTCTATCATAATATGTTTTAGGTTCGTTTGCACTTTGAAGACATTGTGTAAAAAAAGATACAAAAGAAAAAGTTTTATAAGTGATTGTAAATTAGTATAGCTTTCGTTCGACATTCAAATTTCGATGCAACATTCGATTAGAGTTGTATATGCTATCCATTGCTCTCAGTTTTCATGCTTTGCTACATCTTAGTTATTGTCTTTTAAGACATCATCTTACGGAATCCCTGAGGGTCTCTGCAAGTGGATCGCTAGCTTTTTGGATGGGCGGAGCATCACGGTCGTTGTAGACGGTGACTGTTCTGATACCATGACCATTAACGCTGGCGTTCCACAAGGTTCGGTGCTCTCCCCCACGCTTTTCATCCTGTATATCAATGACATGCTGTCTATTGATGGCATGCATTGCTATGCGGATGACAGCACGGGGGATGCGCGATATATCGGCCATCAGAGTCTCTCTCGGAGCGTGGTGCAAGAGAGACGATCAAAACTTGTGTCTGAAGTGGAGAACTCTCTGGGGCGAGTCTCCAAATGGGGTGAATTGAACTTGGTTCAATTCAACCCGTTAAAGACACAAGTTTGCGCGTTCACTGCGAAGAAGGACCCCTTTGTCATGGCGCCGCAATTCCAAGGAGTATCCCTGCAACCTTCCGAGAGTATTGGGATACTTGGGGTCGACATTTCGAGCGATGTCCAGTTTCGGAGTCATTTGGAAGGCAAAGCCAAGTTGGCGTCCAAAATGCTGGGAGTCCTCAACAGAGCGAAGCGGTACTTCACGCCTGGACAAAGGCTTTTGCTTTATAAAGCACAAGTCCGGCCTCGCGTGGAGTACTGCTCCCATCTCTGGGCCGGGGCTCCCAAATACCAGCTTCTTCCATTTGACTCCATACAGAGGAGGGCCGTTCGGATTGTCGATAATCCCATTCTCACGGATCGTTTGGAGCCTCTGGGTCTGCGGAGGGACTTCGGTTCCCTCTGTATTTTGTACCGTATGTTCCATGGGGAGTGCTCTGAGGAATTGTTCGAGATGATACCGGCATCTCGTTTTTACCATCGCACCGCCCGCCACCGGAGTAGAGTTCATCCATACTACCTGGAGCCACTGCGGTCATCCACAGTGCGTTTCCAGAGGTCTTTTTTGCCACGTACCATCCGGCTATGGAATGAGCTCCCCTCCACGGTGTTTCCCGAGCGCTATGACATGTCCTTCTTCAAACGAGGCTTATGGAGAGTATTAAGCGGTAGGCAGCGGCTTGGCTCTGCCCCTGGCATTGCTGAAGTCCATGGGCGACGGTAACCACTCACCATCAGGTGGGCCGTATGCCCGTCTGCCTACAAAGGCAATAAAAAAAAAAAAAAAGGAAAAAAAAAGACTGTTTGCAAATTCACAACCATTGTCGTTCTTATATACTTATACATGGAGCGTAGAACAAAAAAACGCAGCCAAAAATTTATATGCCATCTTGATCTTCGTTAGTTTTCGTTTTCAATGACTTTATTGCCAGGACACATCTTGTTAAATTGCCACAATGCGCTTTGGTCGAATAACTTAATAGTCACTACACAAATTTCGTTATGTGGTTGTTCTGAGACTGCTACGTTGAGTTGTGACCGGTCTCTGAGCTTTAACTGGTGGTAGGACATCGTTGTGAGCCCGCACAGGTATAACCATCCCGCCCATTTCTGCTGCGAAGCCGCGGCGCTGCCGGTTTGAGGGTTGGGGCAGCTGTTGTATTGAAAAATGAGACTTAGAACTCATATCTCAAGATGGGTGGCGACATTTACTCTATCCATGGCACGCATGGGCCCACATGGGTAAGTATTTGTCGTGAAGAATTTTCATGTTCCAATTTTAAGGAAAAGACGGCAGTTAAACTTTCAATTCGAGACTTACGACTCACGTCTGAAGGTGAGCGCCAGCATTTACATGTCTATAGAATCCGCTAATCACTTAAAGTCAGGTGGGCCGTGAGCTCGTCTATCTATCCACAACAAAAAATATCATAAAGTGTAAACCATAACATACTAAAAAAAAACTTGTTTATTTTTGACTTGTCTGCTGCGTACTTACTACATGTAATTTTATTTTAAATGTTTGAAATATCTGAATAAGAATTGAGATTGTGTGTGAGAGAATGCGTACTACACATAAAGCGTTTGCGTTGTGGAACTGTGTGTGTACGTTGGTGTTGGTGATTCATTTCTCGGAATTGACCTTGCTATGAGTCATTCGCTGGAAGGCAGAGTCGGGGATACCGCGCCTGTCTGCTTGCTGCCGGCTGCATGGCACACGCACTCCGTTTGCTGTTCTTCGTTTAAAACCGAGTTTTGTGTATCTTAATTAAAAAGTAAATTAAGTTGTAAAAATGTGCTATTATAGAAAACGTAGAAAATATCGTTAATCATAATTTTTATTAATACTTGGAAATATAATATTTGTGTTTTGGAATTTGGATATCATGATAACAACCATGACGTCATTCATATTACTTAAGGTAAGAAAATTATTACATTAATTGATCTATATTAATAATTAGTTATTTTTGCAAAACTAGTATTTATGTAGATGATGAATCATCCTAAATTTCTTATCAGTTTCTTATTTGACGATTCAGTTGTGACGTTTGACTTATAACCACATTTATTTAAAATTGAAACATGTTGGTGTTTGTCTCTCTTTAACGCAGACTTTGTAACGAAGTCGGAGGGAGATAAATAATACAGATGAGAGAAGACTTTAAACTTTCAATTTGATAGTATTATGGTAGGTAATAAACAACAAGAAAGAATGAAATAGAATGAAACATGGCGCGTCAGTATCAGTAATTACATCAAAGTTTTGACTTCTGGCAAAGTTTTGAAACTTCCCACGGAACATTTTGGATTTGATTTGATATGTTACAACAGATTAAAACTTTATTAATTGAGGATTAAGAAAAACAAATAAGAAAATTAGTAGTTTTAGGTCATCTGATGTGTGGAATGTGGTGCATACCTGTTGAACAAGTTTCCAATTAACTTTTCAGACAAACTCTTTTTTGTTGAGGATGAATAGAGAAGACAACGTTAACTGGTTTCATGGGAAAATATCACGTGAATCCGCTGAGAAACTGTTAAAAGNAAACTTTATTAATTGAGGATTAAGAAAAACAAATAAGAAAATTAGTAGTTTTAGGTCATCTGATGTGTGGAATGTGGTGCATACCTGTTGAACAAGTTTCCAATTAACTTTTCAGACAAACTCTTTTTTGTTGAGGATGAATAGAGAAGACAACGTTAACTGGTTTCATGGGAAAATATCACGTGAATCCGCTGAGAAACTGTTAAAAGAGGGTTAGTAAATAGTTCTTTTGTCATTGTTTTGAACAAAATAAAACTTTAAATATAACAAAGTTTTGTAATTTCAGAAGGAGAAGATGGTGTATTTTTAGTACGGGAGAGTAATACTTCGCCTGGAGATTATGTTTTGTCTGTTTTGCATCAGGTACACTAAATTTCTTATAAATTTGATAACCTAAAAAAATATTTTAAATAAAGTTTATTTGAGAATTTAAAACTGCTAGACAATTCTGAAATAGAAGATTTAATTTTCAGGGTCAAGTAGTGCATTATCAAATACGCAGACACGGTGAAGATGCATTCTTCTCTATAGAAGAGCACACAACTGTTCATGGATTGGATACTCTTATACAACATTACCGTAGTGATTCAAATGGACTCGTTACTAGGTTGTCCATTGTCTGTAAAGGAGAACCACCACCGCATGAGTCGAGGACACAGGGAACAACAAATTTACTGCACAGGTGTGTTTCAAACTCAATTTTTTTTTCTAAAGCCAAACACATTTTTTGACAGAGAAATTGAAATAAATTTAGTAAAATAACAATTAACTTACAATTGGATTTATATATGAATTAAGACAACAAAGCACTAAGGCATTCAGACATCACCACTGTACCTCTAGTCAGTGATTATGCTAATTAAAGTTCTGAAATGGTTATAATTAAGTAATTAAGCTTCTGGCAGGCAAGTCAGGCTTAGTAATGCTCATATCTTACAACAATGGAATGTGCATGTTTGAAATAACGAACATGAAAACTATGGCACAATTTTTTTTTACAATTTCAGTGATCCGTTTTACTAGTAATCTAAAAGGCACCAACTTATTCCATGTTTCTTATGTCTTTGATTTGAAGAACTAATTTTCTAGATTTGTACATCAAATACTTGTAAGGTAAATTATACAAATACAAGATAATTTAATTACAGCAAAGCTTAGAAAAATAAAATGAACTAAATTCTTAATTTATTTCATTCATTTCGATATGTTTTCATTGCTATCTAATCATATGCTAAGATGAATCCTTGATCACCAATTACAAGAAATTAAAAAATAAAGCAAATTTTCCTAAAATACAAGTAAAATAACAACATCAATAAACTTTAATCAAATTTATTATTTTGGCTATAAGTTTCAACTTTACTTGAATAAGCTTTAAATGTATTTATTATACAATTTTAAACAAACGCTATATCATTTTAGTATTGTGGATACTCAGTCAAACACACAGTTAATAAACTTGTTCAATCCCTTAATTAGTGATATCGTGACTAGTTCAAGAAGGATGTTCTATTAAGCAGAGGGTCCCGTAAATTGTCCTTAATTCCCTCTTGTGTTTTATTGTCTCAATGGATAGATAGATATCGTTTGAGTTTTTCAATTATGTTATGTACTGTTATTATGTTAAACTTTTATTGAAATAAAGCTTAAAGTGTTTTACTAGGATAAATTATATTATTCAGGTAATATCTTATGATATTATGGATCATGGCTAGACTAAATTGATATTATTTAATTATTGTTAGAGTTTGATATTATTTCTTCCTCACAAGAGGTTTGATCAGAGTACTCGGCAGTAGGCAGCAACTTGCCTGTACCTCTGGGATTGTTCATTTTTAAGTGCAATGGTGATTATACTTATTATCAGGCCCATATGCAAGCCAATTTACAACAGCAACGAAAAAATACCCTTTTTACTACTCTGTATCATATTATCTCAAATCACAAAAATCTGTGCAGTATTAGAAATATTGCACGTTTCGAAATTAATAAAATCAACTATCAATTAGTACTTTAAAGTGTTAATATTATGAGATTGGAAAATCTAAGGACTCCCCTAACACTTTAATGTAAGCTAATATAATAATATATATTTATGTATATAACATAATGGGAATTAAATATGACTTTCACTAAAGTCAAAAATATTTCACTAAAGTTCAGTCTTATAACTTCCATTAACAAATGCTTAAAAAATTATAAAGTACTCTTAAATTTGGTGTAAAAAAACTTGGATGTGACCTCTGTTGGATGCAGCTCAATAAGGTTATTGAACTTATTTCTTATTGTTTTACCCTGTACTGTGCAGTCAATGATATTATTTATTGGTTGCAGTCAAGTTTATTGATGATTTCCTGTTGAACCCGGCACTCAACTTGTTTATTCGATAATATCAGAATAATGAATCTGATTACAAATATGGCCAGTGCAATTTTGTTTCAGACGTAGAAGTAAATTTAATATACCGAACATATTATCTATATCTATACTAATATTATAAAGAGGAAAGATTTGTTTGTTTGTTTGTTTCGAATAGGCTCCGAAACTACTGGACCGATTTGAAAAATTCTTTTTCCATTAGAAGCCGACATTGTCCCTGATGAACATAGGCTACTTTTTTTTATTTTATTTTTTTGGTTTCATGTGTGTTTTAATGTTTCTGAAGCGAAGCGAGGGCGGGTCGCTAGTATAAATATATAAATGAAATAATGTTAAACAATAATACACTTTATGATCAATATGATTGATTTATCATATTTCAATCGGGATTCAAATATTTATCGCTCAGTTAAAAATTAAATGATAATATTATACAAAAACTATTTGATTAATTGCATTTGAGCGTTTGTGTGCATCTCGAAATTTCTCTAAATATAAAAAAAAACAATCATAAAAATTTACAATACAGAGCTTTACTAACCCGAGTATTATAAATGTTATCGAACGAAAAAAATAAAAACCGTAAGTCATCAAAATACAATAAGAGACGAAAGTTCAGAATTAATTTGTCAATATGATTAATATGCTCACATAGATTAAAACAATGCATTATTATGTATCCAAACGGTCAGACAATTACAAATGGTAACAAAGCAATATTATTTCAACAGATCTCGTGATTGTTTGTTAATGCGCATAAAAATTCTCGTCCCGCATTATGATGTGGTGACTTTGCAATCTGAACTGATTAGAATACCAAATGCGGTCCGATGTGTGTTAATTAAATATACGCATGTGTCAGCAAGCGATATGTGGCATTCAACTGTTGTTGCGCTTTTTATATATAGATCTTTTTATTTGGTATACGTGTGTTTGAGCTCACAAGATGTTAAGCGATTACCAGAATCTATAGACACGGTGTGAACCGCCATAACCACTTTGAAACAGTCGAAGTCTATATTAGAATTAATTGTCGTGGCCTAAAGGATAAGACGTCCGCTGCATTCGTATGTAGCGATACACCGGTGTTCGAATCCCGCAGGCGGGTACCAATTTTTCTAATGAAATACGTACTCAACAAATGTTCACGATTGACTTCCACGGTGAAGGAATAACATCGTGTAATAAAAACCAAACCCGCAAAATTATGATTTGCGTAATCACTGGTGGTAGGACCTCTTGGGAGTCCGCACGGGTAGGTACCACCACCCCGCCTATTTCCGCCGTGAAGCGGTAATGCGTTTCGGTTCGAAGAGTGGGGTAGCCGTTGTAACTATACTGAGACCTTAGAACTTATATCTTGAGGTGGGTGGCGCATTTACGTTGTAGATGTCTATGGGCTCCAGTAACCACTTAACACCAGGTGGGCTGTGAGCTCGTACATCCATCTAAGCAATAACAAAACAAAAAAAAAAAACATACAGGAAAACAATGTTCGGTACGTAACTATGTACTCCGAAACTTTGTTCTTGTGCCAGTGTCGAACCATGTTACAACCATGAAATTTTAGCTTATTTTTTTGTTTATTTCAATTCAACCTCTGTATACTTAAAATGCGGTTTATATGAATATGGAGGATTTTTCTTGTTTTGTCAACTACCTACTTCCTAGTTTAGTAAATAACATAATGATAAGCGAAATAAATAAATTTAGATCTACAATATCTTTTCACTTAGTAATAAATATAAGACACGAAAGCGTTAATATCGGAGGGCTTTCAGAGCTTATGTTTATTGAGATAGACTTTAAAGAGATAAAAAATATTATTCAATTTATAAAAAAAAAAACTTATGTATAGATCCCAATTAAAAACCTCCTTCTCATTTATAAAACCTACGCAAAGTACAAAAACTTGTTCATTGAAAATCGAAAACAAAATTGTTTCATTTTTTTGGTCGGACACTATTAAAGGTAGTGTTGCCACTCAATTTTTACATCACCTTTACATTATGTTTCATACAATACACACTCTGTTGTTTTTATTACCAAACTTCAACTTAAATATTGCCAATGGTCTTCGTAATTTCCTTAATCGTTAAAAAACAAAACCATTTTGTTTCTATTTACAGAATATTATATTTGTTGCGATTTGTTTTTTTTTTTGTTTGTACATTGCCTTATAATATCGAAATATCATACACATATTTAAATATTATTGTCAAACTTGTGAATCATCTTTGTTTATGTTAATGATTCATTGTTAAATACAAACCTCATTGGACATACAAGCTGTTCTACTATTGTTTAATAATTACCGATTAATTAGGCACCACAATTACGTATGTGCGAATAGTTAGATAATAGTTAAGCGACAAAATCGAATGCATTCATTTGAGGGTTTTTAACAATACTACATCTTTTTTTTTTCGGCGTGAGATGAATTAAGAACAAGTGCCTCGTAAATATGATCTAGTAAGGAAATTTTAATACTACCTAATTAAAAACAACATTAATCTGTAGGGTAGAATAAGTGAACTAATTTTTCGATCCTAAGTTTAGAAATAAAGTGCTGTTTGGTTTTGTACTAAACAAGTATAAAATATTAACTTCTCTCTTCGAATGCACCCCATTCTTTTCTGTCTCTTGCCTTTTGCATCCAGTCTCTACCACCACTTTGACCAGTAGCCGTGGCACTGACATGCGGTGGGGAACAAAAATACTGGAGTGGAGACCTCGTACTGGACGTCGTAAAATGGTCATTAAATGCTAGCAAAGTCGTCGTACCAACGGAATTGAGACCTCAATTGTAAATCTCGAGGCGGACAACATACCGTAGGGTATATGAAAACATAACTTTAGTTCCAAATCGATTTGCAGAGCAACGGAAGCGGGTCATTTCAACGTGGTGTCGAAGTTACTGGCAAGCGGCTACCGAAGTCGCGACGCCAAGAACCAGGACGGTCAGACCGCGGTGCACATCGCCGCGAGGGCGGGACGAGACACCATCCTCGCCGAACTCATCGAGAGCGGCTCCACTGTCAACGTTCGAGACTCCTTTGGATACACGCCCTTACACGTATGTTCTATTAGTCTAATTCAAACATCCACATAGATAACAAGCCAAAAAGTAGTTGAATGTGTTGTTACAGAGAACCAGTCATCATATAAGTTTTTGTCTTTGGATTCATTCAAGATAAACAAAAATATTTGTTAATCTAAAAGAGCTTATTAAATCGCGAAAACGTATTACGATCTCATGTGTTTTTCTTTCACGAATATTAAAACACTAAAACGAATTCCTTAGAATGTATTTTTCTAAAACTACAACATAGTTTTTGAATAACAAGACTCAAAAAGAGTGTTTTCTTCTTGACTTTTGGGCCTGGAATTTACTGTCTAGTCACGACTTCCATTAGGTGGGTCGATTACTATTTATTAAGACAGTTAACAAATGTATATATAGTATGTTTCAATAGAAAATTTCATATTATATAGTAACCTTCAAATACAAACCTCCACACACCTCCACAAAATATTTAGCAATATGATTTATCTAAATCTAATCTGGGATATTCATTAGTTTATGACGAATTTACAGTACACATGTCAAAATAACTTGCCGAGTACAACGGAGCTTCTGATAACGAAAGGGAACGCTAACTATCAAATGAGACATGCACCTACCGGAAAAGTACCTCTGCACGACGCAGCTCAGAAAGGACACATTGAATGTATTAAGGTATAATATAGCTCACCATTATATTCGAAATATAATAACCCATATTAAATACTCAAATTAAATGGTGGTAGCACCTCTTGAGAGTCCGCGCGGGTAGGTACCACCACCCTGTCTATTTCTGCCGTGAAGTAGTAATGCTTTTCGGTTTGAAGGGTGAGGGCAGCCGTTGTAACTATACTTGAGACCTTAGAACTTATATCGCAAGGTGGGTGGCGCATTTACGTTGTAGATGTCTGTGGGCTCCAGTAACCAACACCAGGTGGGCTGTGAGATCGTCCACCCATCCAAGCAATAAAAAAATAATGAAGTAAATTCTCCTCAACATAATTTATAAGATCAGCGATCTCGATTCTTAATGTGTTTGTTACCTTTAGGTGCTTTTAAGATTAAAGGCGCCATCACATCCAAGAACATTAACAAAAGAAACCCCAGCAGACTTAGCAAAACAATACGGACACGCAGAATGCTATCAACTACTAAGTGAGTCGTTTTACAATTTTAATTTTTAAAATTATTATAATATTTTGAAGGTGAATTTTAATATAGATTACGAAAAACTGGTACAGAGTTGCAAAATAAATGAAAAAAGAAAATGTTCAACATATTACAAAAAAAATTACCATAGTGTGAATTTTGCTCGGTTTTGAATATATAATTTATTTTCAGAAAATTATCAACCAGAACAGCCCAATACATCAAAGAGCCAATGGTACCACGGCACGCAGAACCGCGATGAAGCTGTAAAGATACTCGAAAACTACTGCAAGCATCACAATTTGAGAGACAAAGCCTCGGACGGCGTATTTCTGGTGCGCTACAGTGAAAGGCGCACAGGCGCTGCCTACGTTTTGACGATGCTCAGTGAAAACACACCTTACAACTTCATTATTAGAAAAGAGGTTAGTTGTTTTTTATTCATTAAATTATTTGTTTTGTGTTATAAAACATAACAAGGAACATTGTAGATGTATTTTAAAGTTTTTAAATATTTCTTGCTAAGCGCCAACTGTTGAAGATTTAACTGTCTGTCTTTTTTGTTTTTTTTTGCTAAATGTTGCACGCATTGCGGTCACGCGTGGCACTAGTGTGCGCTCACTCGCGCGACTTCCGGAATAGTTGGCAAAAGATTCCAAAATTCCAACCTCAAAATCTAATTTTTTAGCGTTATCTTGCGTTCATTGTCTAACTTGTTCATGAATTCCTCACGACTAGCTCGATTGTAGTGCATTCATATAGATATTATATTCATAAGATTCATATAGTGCATTCAAATGTTATAAATAATAACATTATTTAATAACATAATTAATAATAACGTTCTATATAAGTTGATAGTAGTCTTCAGTCTGCAGTTATTGGAATGAAGTTAAAGTTTCGACCATGTCAGATTGTTTTGCAGTTGTACATTCAGGCGCACGCTCCATTAGGCTCCATTATCTGCTATAAATCAAGTTAACTGTGAGCTCGGCTGTCCTTCGACACAAAAAACTTACTATATTTTCTCCATCAGGGCAACTGGCTTTTCATAGACGACGGTCCCTACTTGGAATCATTGGAGAGACTGATTGAACACTATAGCACAGTGCCTGATGGTCTACCCACAAGGCTCACTACACCCGTTCCACCTAAACCTAAACCACCGTTACCTGAAGTAAGTATTAATTTGACAATAGCTTACTAATAGTTAAATTAAAGTATAATTATTAAAGTATAAGTATAGTTAAATTAAATAGTAAAATTAAATTATTAATTCATTCTTCACTTATAATTCTAAGTTAAAAAAAGAATTGTTTTACTTTACTTTCCAAGAATGCTATGATTAGCTTTAAAAACTAATTATTTAAAATATTATTACTTTAATTATAAGTTTCATAATGATAGAAATAAAAATTATTTCAGTTTTCAACGATGCCGAGAACAAAGAAGCTATCATCGAGTCGAGCAACGAAAAATCAAACTTTATCACTTGTGAAACACGATATACTTAGCGACAAAGCCGATTTGACGTCACCTGTCTCGAATGCTTCCAACAACAACTTGCTTGATTTCTTCACTAGGAATATATCATTCTCATCAGATTTTAGTAATGATAGTATGAACAACGACGATGACAATGACACATATAAAGTACCAGTGAACAGTTCTGTGACCGTACCCGAGAATTACAATGAAATCTCTATAAACTCCGACGGACAGCTATCCACACTGCAAGGTATTTTTTTCATTACATTATGTTATTAAGACTCAATGTAGTGTTTGTAAACTGGTTTGAAATGTTGTCTTGTTTATAGTTTAATTAAAGCTACTTTTATGGTTTCTATTGCTGTCATCAATGTCGAAGAAGACTCTTAGTTGTCCATGAACATGAAAACTTGAAAATTCTATTAAACTGTAAAACTAGTTTTAATTATATCTGTGAATCCTAAGAATACCTAATATAAGCGATAACCGAAGAATATACTATACCCGTCACTATCTATTTCTGCTGTGAAACATTCATGCGATTTGTCGGTATGAGAGATTGATTACTATATATTACAATTCCCTGGTAACTTTGGTAACCGCTGGTTCCATCACACAGGTGGTGATTTCATGAGACCATCTAATGTTAATGTTCTCCAATATTAACAAATTGTTTTACAAACATTAAACTATATGTAAAAAAATATATATTTAGCATCATAATTTAGTATTATAATATTTTGTGACACATATTATGTTCCAGAATTCATCCCAATGAATGAATTAACATTGGGCGCGATGATAGGAGAGGGCGAATTCGGTTCAGTACTGCGAGCCACTTACACTCCGCACGATCAGCCTCCGCAAACGGTTGCCGTGAAGACATTACACGTGCAACACACCGACACGAACAAGAAGGAGTTCCTATCCGAAGCCAAAGTAATGATGTCTTTAAGGCATCACTGTATTGTGAACTTGATTGGGGTGTCTTTGGTAATTATAATAATTTTGTATTTTATTAGTGTAGATGCCTATCTAGTGTCTGCCTAGACAACAATACAAACTTAGTTCTGCTCGAGTAACGCACCATGATCTCCATGATACGTAAATTCGTAATCTATATTATATTCAAATAATGGGTGTATCCATTAAACTGGAAAACGTGATTGATTCTCAGCAGGAAAAGGCAACTAGCAAGAGACGCATGATGATGCTCTACTTCCATTTTTCAAAACGGAGCTAGCATTGTAGTGGTCAATATCTAACTTCCAAAATTCAATGTTGCTTGTATTTAACTATTTCATTTTATTTATACCCTGCCTATCTCTGCCGTGGAGCAATAATGCGTTTCGGTTTGAAGGGTGGGGCAGCTATTGTAACTATACTTGAGACCTTAGAACTTATATCTCAAGGTGGGTGGCGCATTTGCGTTGTGGATGTCTATGGGCTCCAGGTGGTAACACCAGGTGGGCTGTGAGCTCGTCCACCCATATAAGCAATAAAAAAAAAAATTGCGTATAGGCTGATAAAAATAATTACACGCTTCGATTTACAGGGTCCACCACTGGCAATGGTGCAGGAGCTGGTGCCGCTCGGCTCGTTGCTAGAGTACTTGTTACGGCATCCGGAATCTATATCTCCCGGCTACGAACTGCGGCTGTGGGCTTGCCAGGTCGCCGCTGGGATGCGCTACTTGGAGAAACGACGCTTTGTACACAGGGATTTAGCAGCTAGGAACATCTTGCTGGCTAACAGGTGAATTATACCGTTTATCATTAGATCTATCAATATGTTTTAAGAAACAATCTTTATAGATGGTAGGAAGTAATAATAAAACCCATATGGATATTTTTACCTGCCCAATGTTGCCAGACTGAGTTTATATTTCAAGGTGAGTTGCAGTATTCCAATTGCAATGTCTATGTAGCTATGGGCTCCGGTGATTATTTAACAAGCAAACCGGGAGCATCTTCCGTCGCCTTCCTGATACAAACAAATAAAGCACGCGCAATGAAAACCGTTAAACCCACAAAACCCCAGTAAACACTCTTCACTCATATTTTATTTCTAGTAAAAACTAATTATACTGATGGTAGGACCTCTTGTGCGTCCGCACGGGTAGGTACCACAGGTGAAGCAGAAATGCGTTTCGGTTTGAAGGGTGGGGCAGCCGTTGTAACTGTACTGAGACCTTAGAACTTATATCTCAAGGTGGGTGGCGCATTTACGTTGTAGATGTCTATGGGCTCCAGTGACTACTTAACACCAGGTGGGCTGTGAGCTCGTCCACCCATCTAAGCAATAAATAAAAAACTGAAATTAAAACATTGGTTACGATTTTAGACATCAAGCCAAAATCAGTGACTTCGGTCTCTCCCGCGCCCTGTCCACCGACAGCTCGTACTACCGCGCGAGCCGCGGCGGGAAATGGCCCATCAAGTGGTACGCGCCGGAGTCCTACAACTACGGCACGTTCAGCCACGCCAGCGACGTGTGGAGCTACGGGGTCACGCTCTGGGAGATGTTCTCGTTCGGACAACAACCTTATGGGGATATGAGGGGCATCGATGTAAGTAATATTTTATTGTTTATTTTCCGCAATTCGTTCGCAAACTTCGCTGTCATCCGATTTATAAAATTGAAACAAGAGCCATTAATTTATTATGCCAAAAGTGTTCAATAGTTTTTTTTTTTTTTTATTATTATTCTAGTAACCTCGAAGGATTATACCTGGTTCACCGAACGTGCTTTAATAGCAATTAGCATCTTTTCATCTTTTATAACTAAAATTATTTTTAGCTAGCTTTAGTTTATTAATTTTGATAGATATGCAAATATTGTAAATTAATAATAATAAAAAAATGTATTAATTACAGGCGATACAACTTGTGGAAAGCGGTAAGCGTCTTGAACGCCCCGAGGACTGTCCTGATGAGATATATCAAGTGATGCTGGACTGTTGGACGTACAGTCCCGAGCACAGGCCAACCTTCAGCCACCTGGTAGATGTGTTCTCGCAGCATCCTGATTACGTCAACATAAGCCAGTTAGTCCTTGAAAATGACGAAATTAATGTGTGACAGCAAAAAATTTTTTTATTTTTTTATTTTACCCATGCTAACTGAGATGCATTCAAATATAAAAAAATAATCTCGAAAGATTATGTATGCGTCAGAATTCTTAGGGTTGAACATAAGTACTGTTTGCATGACAAGTAAAACGTCGCTACTATTGTGAAAAAAAAAATCACAATTGATATTTAAAAGAGTTGCAAAAAGTGGAATATTTCAGAAATAGTATTTAAACAAAGAGTAATTATATTTTCAAATGTTCTCTTTCTAAATTTCGATGGAACTGTAGAACCTTGGAGAAGCAAAATATGCCTCCAGAAATAGCAGTCATAATGCAATATTTAACATTGTTGCACAATGTATGTAATACATACAATTAAATTTATTCTAATGAACGGGACTAGACTGTTAGTCTCAAGCAAGCAAAACAACAATATTCATACTTAGTTTACTAAATTCATTTTGTCATGTAGTTTACTAAATTAAGCTAGTATTTTATTCGCTTCTGTATTGGAGAGGGTTTCTTCACATTCTCTATACACAACAAATATCCTCAGATACTAGTTAAAAGTCAGATATAAACATAAATAGTATTATGAACACAATTTTAAAGTAAAAATGTAATATACTGCATTTACAATTTCTACAAGGATACTCTGAATCGATAAAATGATAATATTATTATTGTAAATACTCTTTTTATCAAATAACGCCTGGAAAAGTTCTTTCCAGACATGCGAGTGCCTACGTCGTCAATACATAATATGTTATGTCCTCATTACGATCAACCTGAATAAACAAAACTGTATTATACTAGATTTGTTTAAGTGTAGTTATATTTTAACAACGAATGGTCTAGAAACAAATTGTTTCTAAAATATATCGAATATGCCAAGATGTGCCTGAATGATACCTACATAGATAAGATTTTATTTTTTTAAGTTACTACTAAAAAATAGTGCATAAGGTATTTTAATTATAGTGGAGGTTTTTAATGTGTAAATAATATTTTGATTCCTATTTTATGTACTTTTTCCTAACAAACAAACGTTAGCAGTATCAATTAACTTCCCTAACTGGCTTCCAACAACGTGGATNATGCCAAGATGTGCCTGAATGATACCTACATAGATAAGATTTTATTTTTTTAAGTTACTACTAAAAAATAGTGCATAAGGTATTTTAATTATAGTGGAGGTTTTTAATGTGTAAATAATATTTTGATTCCTATTTTATGTACTTTTTCCTAACAAACAAACGTTAGCAGTATCAATTAACTTCCCTAACTGGCTTCCAACAACGTGGATTTGTTAATAAAGTCGAACATCATTTGACGAACTTGTAAATTAAATTAAGTAATAATTTTCTTACATTCCAGTCTGATTACGCATATCAACTTTATATAATATTTTCGAGTTTATGTAAAAATGTACGAATACATGGCGCCTGAAACAGTTCAATTAACTTAATCTCAATAGAAAATTTATATGTAAGGGGTATACCATACTAACGTGATCATTAATTATTGCCATGCGGTTGTGTTGTAGTTAAAAGTTTTCAAGTTACCCAAACTATATTAGTGAATAAAAATAATAAAAATTGCACATAAATATTTATGAGTCTGATTTAGTGTATTATCAGTTTTATGATTATAGATTTTATAATATTGTTAACAAACAGATTGTGATAAAGGTATTTATATACAACAAATAAACGATTTATATTTAAAATGTATTTTTATTTAGATTTGTACGTTATGTTAAATTTCAATTTAATAAAAAAATAAAACATGAAATAATATCACAATAAACTTAACTAAAATAATTTATCCCTCTTAATTATATATTGATGCAGCATTCATTGTATGGTGGTGGTGGAGTCTCGGATCTGTTTGGGACACGGATGGCGTCTGCGTGTCGGGCTCCATCGGTCGTATTAGAGACGCCACCAGGTGGTCTTCTATTAGGGGCCGTCGGTGGAGTTTCCACATCAGGATTGATGATGGTACTCCAAAGTAAATTCGCTCTCATTTCAGCATCGGAACGCTGCAGTCTGCGAGTTCGACGCCTCACGTTCGCTCGACAGCTAAAACGAGCACAAGAAAAGAATCGTCGCAGCCAGACATACGTTCCGACTATGCCGATAGCTAAACCCATTTCTAGGCCCATAACGAGAGCTTGAATCGCAGAGAATTCCCTATCGAACTTTTCCAGGGGCGTCAAGGGGCGTTTCGATTCCGTTACTTTTGTAGTCTCGTTTTTATTTACTGTCGTATTCCACACTGTGCTCAAATCGACTGGCGCTTTTTCAAGACTCACAGTTGATATAATCTTTTCTGATCTTTTAGGTCCCTTTGTACACTGGTTCTGATAATTGATGCCCTTTGATTTGATCCATGTCTCGATGGCAATGAAATCTGGAGAACACTGCCAATACGCGCTCCACATTTCTAATCGCTCTAGTTTATTTAGAGGCTTTAAGACGTTTTCACTTAAAATAACCACGTAATTTTCACTAATATCCAGTTTCTTTAAATTTGGCAATCTCGTAAACAATCTCTCTGGTAATGATCTGATTCTACAGTTATTTAGATTTAATATCTGGAAAAGAATAAGACATGCTTCACTTTTGCAAATAATAACACTTGTATAGTTTAAACGTGGTCATTGAAAGTATACCTGCAATTTTGTGTGCATTATGAACGGCTCATTCTTTAACGACTCGAAAACGTTCGAAGAAAGGTCAAGGTGTTCAAGCTGCGGTGTGTCCCAGAAAAGATCGGATGGTATATATCTCAGTCTGTTGTTACTAAGATTTAAGTAGATTAACTTTTCAAGCCCTGAAAAGGCATGTAATCCTATCCAGAATATCAAATTATACGATATATCCAAAAGTTTCAAGGCCGTGTAGCCGGATTCCTAAAATACACACAATATTGATGAATTTTAAATTTGTCAACTATTAAAAGTTTTTGTTGAATTTAAATGAACTGTACAATGTAAAAAGACTAGTCATCACACAATCACAATTCATTGTGTTGACACATTACAATTACAATAATAGATTTTTGGAAATGTAAAACACAAGCAGTTTATTTACAAGTACTTTTAAAAAGAAAGTATTTGTGACATAGGTACAAACCTTAAAACAAAAATTGTCTAGTTCGCTGATAACATTGTGCTTCAAGCTGTACACTTGAACAGCTTTGGATACTCCAACGTTTATATCGATAATGTTTTGGTCAACACAAATAGCTCTGTTCAACCCATTAGACATATCACAGTCACATTGTTTTGGACAAAACTCACTGAGCACAAACGAAATACAAAATGCAATAAAGATAAAAAACCTCAACGCCATTATTTGTAATCAAGATTTCACTTTAAAAATTGTTACTCGCATTTTTTTTTATTAATCTTCCTTTTCTCTTGTTGTAATCATGTTCCAACGTTTTCACATTAAAATGGAACAATGATGCATGGATTGACGAAACAAACCATATTATCGGGCGTGTTCACGTAGACGATAAGATAAAAACGACCAGTTTAACGCGAAGTATCGGCGAGTACAATGTATCGTTTGATCGAGTTATTCTTTCGCGCACGTCGTCCGTTCGATAACGTGGATACAGCACGAATAAAACAAAGTCTATAATTAGAGTTGTTTATTAAATATATAAATATTTTACTAACAATCACGCCACGTTAACTGGTCCCGTGATAAGTTCGTAAAGAACTTGTGTTACAGGTACCAGATAACGGATATAAATGTAAGATTTTTATTATACACATACATATATTTAATATACATCCATAAACCTGGAAAAGACATTTATATTTATCAAACAAATATCTTCCCTTGGCGGGATTCGAACCTGCGACCTAGGGGTGGTGTAGTGACCATGTCACTTACCACTACACCAGACGGACGTTAATTCATATAACAATTCATATAATAATCGGTAATTTAAGCAATTCGTAACATTCACAAACTTTTCATCAGACTTCAAAATATCCGACAGCACTGATGAAACTCGAATTACACGCATTGACATTTCAGCGAGTGGTATCTTGTTCGCAGTATGATGCTAATTGTCTCTTGCATATCGAATCTCAACCGAATATAATATTTGCGTTTGTTCGCTGCGAGGTCATAACGGGGTAACATCTCTTGACCGTGTAGTCTATTCCGATGACCGCGTTCCTAACATCTTGCACGGACGCACTGATCGTTTCAAATGTATTCGCTAATCTGTCCACAGCCAATGCCTGCTAAGACAATTAAAATAAAATTCGTAAAATTGACGCACAATACAACAGAATCGTTTCTATTCTATAAACAGTTCCGATACAATTTTACTGATAGTAGAATAAAAATAAAGTAAAATTTCCTTTGTTCAGGCACTACTGCTCCTGTTGAAATGGTATTTTCACTAGGAAATGATTATTGGACAACTTTCTGTAAAAACAATATCTGCCGTCTTAACAGTCAAATTTAATATGCAAAATGTAAGTTGTTCGGATGTGGCTTCATTATTAGACAAACATCCTCATTTAGCAAAAAAAATCCACTCTGAAGAAAAATATGTTTTTAAAAGAAAATAAAGTTTTTATCGTTTTTTCTTTATTTTTTTTTTCACCTATGAAATACTTACACAGTGTACTTTTTTTTTTTTTAACAAAAAATAGTTGGTCACCTTATTACTATACAACTTCCAGACAGCACCAATAATTGAGTCGTCTATTATCATTACCTGCAAAACCTGCATTAAATAAAGGTTAATAGTTAACCTGTTATTTATCTAAGATGTCGTTCCGAAGAGTTTTGTGACTGCCAATGGAATACAAAGTCAATAATTCGTTTTTCTGATTTACCAATAATTATCCAAAAGTCAGAATGCCGGCTTTGATAATAGTCGACTCAATTATAGGCAATAGAATAAAAAGCGGTGGATGCTCAATTTAATTACGCAGACGTTTGTGCTATCACCACTTCCTTCCCTTTCGGAGGGTGTCATAAAAACGACTAAGGGATTCCCGGGTGAAAGGGCAGCAGCTTTCTATGATTATTATACCAGCGTACTGGGAACTCTGGCCGACATTTATTGGTAGGGCGTATTGTAAAGACGCACAAGTAGGTATCGCCATCCCGCCTGCTTCCGAAAGGAGTTCGACATACTTCTTTGAAGGGTGGAATGTATATCCTAATGTATAAGCAAAGAGACTACAACCTTATGTCGTAAGGTGGAAGGTGGCATTCACGTTGTAATATATATGGGCGCTTCATAGCGAGCAATTCAAACTACTTTGACACGATTTATATTCACCTGTGAATCGCGTGAATAATTGTGAATGTAATTAAAATGAACTACCTGACCAACTCATGTACAGTAAAAAAATGCGACCCAATTCCTATATTCGCGACTGATGATTTTTTTTATTCACGGACCTAATCGGTACTTACACATTGATAAAAAGGATTCCAATATGTAGGTATCCAACAGAATATCCTTTGTGAACGCGTCGGCGTTTGGAATTACTTTTATATTAGTCCTTTTAACGACTTAAAAGGACTAATATAAAAGTTAAATAGACCTTATTACAAATATGCCTAAAGTATGTTGTTAAATGAAATGGCCTAGGAACGTATCCCTATATACATGTAAATTACTATTCCATATTCACGGTTTCTGTATTCGCAGCATATTTACGGAACATATACACCGCGAATAAAGAGCTTTTATTGTAATTAAAACAAAACAGTACACTGACTTGAATGTGGGAAGCCTCAGCGACTCGTTCAAGCGCTTTAGAATTACACAGGGATGTGTGCGCCAACTGGTTCATTGCTGCTGCCTGCTGGTTCATAACTTCTACCTATAACAATAATATTAGAAACAGTATTCATAATACATTCAAAATCCCTTCAACAGGTATGATATACCTTTAACATTCAAGTTTTATATTTAAAACGCATGAAGTATATCTTTTTATTATCAATATACTTAGTCTGGCCAAAAATACTGTTACAATTAAAAAAAAAAAAAAAATCTGTTGCAAATAACATTTATTACTTTTACAGAATGTTTTAGTTTAATACATAAATATAAAACAATTTAAAGTATAAAAAGCTTATTCGAAGTGGTCTCCATTGGCTGCAATACAGTCCTTTAAACGTTGAGGCCAGTTATCAATAGAAGCACGCACTCTTTCCATGGGAAAATTTTTCACTGCCAATCGTACGGATTGTTTTAAGGACTCCAAATTATCATGGCGTTTATAGCAAGCCGTACTCTCTAAAACTGACCATAAAACATAATCCAGCGGATTAAGATCGGGCCTAGACGACGGCCAATCTTCAGCTCTGATGAAGTCCGAAACGTTCGTTTCCAACCAAGACTGCGTAGACCGAGCTTTATGACCTGGCGCCGAGTCTTGCTGGAAGGACCATTCTTGATTATTGAACATGGTGTTGTTAAGGGGCTTCAGTACCATCTCAACAATGGTATCTTGATACACTTGTGCCGATGTTTAGATACCTTTTTCACAAAAGTATGGCTCAGTCACTCCTTCATAGCTAATACCCCAACCCCACCAAACCATCACTGAAGTCGGATAGTGCCCACGTTGCACTCTGTCGACTAATTGGGTGGCTTCCTTAGAGCTTTGAGCATAAATACGGTCATTTGGTTTGTTAAAATGTTGCTCAATTGTAAAAAAATTCTCATCCGCAAATAAAATTTTTCTATGACCTCCCTTTGCGTACCGCATCAGTAGTTGTTTCGATTTTATCACCCTATTCTCTTTTAAATTATCAGTTAAGAAATGACCAGTACGTCTCTTATAGGCTGCAAGTCTTAAGTCATCTTCTAAAATACGCGACATGGTTCTAGGTGCTATCTTCATCTCTAGAGATAAAATCTTTTGCTTTCGGACAGGATTTCTTCGAATTCTTTCCCTTACTGCTTTGACCACCTTTTTCGTACGAACACTACGTGGACGGCCAGATATTTTTCTGTCACAAACAGAGGAGGTCTCATTGCACCTATTAATAGCCCGGTACACAAACATTTTACTAATACCAAGCGTATGGAGAGTTTTAAAAATTGCATTTGGCTCCATACCTACTTTGTGTAATGCAATCACAGCAATTCAGTTCTCTTTATCACCACACTCCGTTTTAGTATCGCAAAATATTGTACAATGTATTGGCGCCAAAATGAGAAAACTCAATGAGCAATCATATAAAAATGACAGATTCCAAATTCAAATTTTTGTTATTTTATTTATTTTATTNGATTTCTTCGAATTCTTTCCCTTACTGCTTTGACCACCTTTTTCGTACGAACACTACGTGGACGGCCAGATATTTTTCTGTCACAAACAGAGGAGGTCTCATTGCACCTATTAATAGCCCGGTACACAAACATTTTACTAATACCAAGCGTATGGAGAGTTTTAAAAATTGCATTTGGCTCCATACCTACTTTGTGTAATGCAATCACAGCAATTCAGTTCTCTTTATCACCACACTCCGTTTTAGTATCGCAAAATATTGTACAATGTATTGGCGCCAAAATGAGAAAACTCAATGAGCAATCATATAAAAATGACAGATTCCAAATTCAAATTTTTGTTATTTTATTTATTTTATTTGATTGTTATTTTTGTATCAAGGGATGTGACTATGACAAGGTTCAGATTACACAGGCAGATACCAATTACTTCTAGGAAAAACGCACATAGCTCCACAAGATTTTCGCCATGAATGAATAATGTATTGTGAAATAAATATAATACCTGCTACTTTAATTAGTGGTAGAGTCATGCATACAACTATTCTATACTACTAGCTGTACCCGTCCGCTTTGCTGGGCATTTAAAATTAACATTATTATTTCTCACCCCCACAAAGATTCTCATCATTAACACCCCCGCAACTGGTTTAAGGAGTCCAACTCTCATATAAATATTAGCCTATCCGTTAAGTACATGTATTTTCTACATGGATACCAAGTTTCAAGTCAATAGGATGCATGGTTCAGTAGTTTTATTTTTATTTTTTTATTGCTTAGGTGGTTGGACGAGCTCACAGCCCACCTGGTGTTAAGTGGTTACTGGAGCCCATAGACATCTACAACGTAAATGCGCCACCCACCTTGAGATATAAGTTCTAAGGTCTCAGTATAGTTACAACGGCTACCCCACCCTTCGATCCGAAACGCATTACTGCTTCACGGCGGAAATAGGCGGGGTGGTGGTACCTACCCGTACGGACTCCCAAGAGGTCCTACCACCAGTAATTACGCAAATTATAATTTTGCGGGTTTGATTTTTATTACACGATGTTATTCCTTCACCGTGGAAGTCAATCGTGAACATTTGTTGAGTACGTATTTCATTAGAAAAATTGGTACCCGTCTGCGGGATTCGAACACCGTTGCATCGCTACACACGAATGCACCGGACGTCTTATCCTTTAGGCCACGACGACTTTAACTTTAGTTATAACAGAACATCCGTAAAACCACTGTAGATTTATATATTAGTATAGATTTATTACCGGATCAATCAATTCAGACGAAGTGATTTTATATGGTAAGAAATCTAGGGTCAGCAGACTAAAGCACATAAGTCAAAAAACTCTACTTTACAGGAATTAAAAAAAACTATTTAGTATCTTATACATTAACAAACTTAATAATGTTTATTTGAATTATATAAGTCTATAACACTAACTTATTATTAAAATTAAATATTTTAAAGTAAATGTGATTATTTAATAATTAGATGACTTAAGTTATAAGGAACACAATAATAGTATGAGTTAAGTGAAAAAGATCAACAATTAAGATATATATTATAATAATATAAGTCATAAATATAAATAACAACTCAATGTTTAATTAAAATTCTTCTTCTTATTCTATTATTCTTCTTCTTCTAAATATCTGGATCAGTATTTCGTAAAGTTTCCAACGTGGGAAGACTTATGTAAAATTCATGGAAAATATCTAGTATTAAAGGGAGCAGCGAAATTAAATNAAATTGTTCGTTCACGGAGTGTTGCAAAAAAAATGGTGGCCACGTTTGTCTCCAAAACCGGCCATGTTACGACTATTCCTCTTGAGGGACAAAGAACGGTTAATGCAGAATGGTATGCTAGCATTTGTTTGCCACAGGTCGTTTCTGAACTCCGTAAAGAGAACTGCAACCGCCGCATCATCCTCCATCACGACAATGCGAATTCTCACACCGCGCACAGAACAAAAGAGTTTTTAGAGCAAGAAAACATAGAATTATTAGACCATCCGCCGTACAGCCCCGACCTAAGCCCTAATGATTTCTATACTTTCCCTAAAATAAAGAATAAATTGCGTGGGCAGAGATTTTCATCACCTGAAGAAGCTGTGGACGCCTACAAAACGGCCATTTTGGAGACCCCAACTTCCGAATGGAATGGTTGCTTCAATGATTGGTTCCATCGAATGGAAAAATGTGTCAAATTTCGCGGAGAATACTTCGAAAAGCAATAAATACATTTTTAAATAGTAATGTTGTGTCACTTCGTTAATTCCCGAAATTTTCAGTGCCGCCCTCGTATTATTATATATTTATTACTGGATCAATCAATTCAGACGAAGTGATTTTATATGATAAGAAATTACTTACCAATTTATCAATTATATTCAAATGTCTCTCATCGTTTTCTGTAACAGAATGTTTGTGTTCTATATCACCGTATTCCTCATCTTTCGACAAAAAACCATCCAAGGAATCTCCATCGCCTCCATTGCAGGGCTCTTCTTTCACTTTACCTCTCTTTTCTGTAAGTAAATACTGAGTGTTTGTAAGGTATTTGAAATGCAGACAAAATATGCTATCAGTTTAGGTTGCCACACCTAAGAGGATTCTTTTGCTCAGAAACAGGGTGATAGTGGTACCCATCCATGATGTCTATTTTTGTAAAGTAATACTATTTCAACTGTAGTAATATTTATCCATGAAACCAGTGCGTAAAAAAAAAAAAGTTGTCTACAAGTATTTCCTTAAAATAATGGTGGAATTTGCATACCATAGCTCATTATCACAACAACTTAAACTTAGATTGGTTTATAATGATTACACTCAATAAATATTCTTACTTGGTGATAATGACTTTTCGTTACACAAGTCTAATATTTTTTGTTCCATTATTGTAATGCGTCCTCTTAGTTTACCTTCTTCGATTTGTCTTTTTTTTATCATCACACTTCTTCTTTTGTCTGCCCAATACTAGAATTTGATAATTGTATTATGTTAAATTTAAATTATCTTCACTGGACTATTTATACTTTTGTGACTGTTGTGGAGCACAAATAAGCTAGTAGTCAATTTGATAGCTAGTAGCTATGCAATCCTATGTACAGTATGTTTCATTATGTTCCAGGGAGATATATATAGACTGTCTTAGGTAAATTACATTTTATATAGATTATGTTACTATTTCATTATGCCAAAATTAAGTTGGTATAGATTCCACAGTGAGGATATCAATACATAACATTACTACTAGACTACTCCCAAATGTCATTAATAACACTAAAGCATGTCAAAATTTACTAAACAAAAAAATAAGTTGAAACTATGAAAAAAATGTAGATGACTGTTTAAAACTGTGTAAAGAAGTGATTAATTCGATATAATATTTTTTTGTAATATCATGGAGTCATCTGGCTATTTGGGTATAACTAAAAATATTTTGACACAACATCATCTGATCTCCTGACTTATTAGGTATAATTATTATTTTTAGAAAATGAAAGTTTCTTATTTCTACTAATTCTATTTCTGATCGACAAAGATAGTGCCGAAAAAGGAGAGCCAGAACTAAGTTATTTCTGGTTTAGATTTTTGAATTTAATGTATTTTAGTGCTTCATGACAATTTATTAGCTATTCTAAAGTTTTTTGAAGATTACGAAACAAAGATGTGTTTAACTTGTTTGAATTAAAATGTGGTAAAATAATTTTATGAATATATTCCCCAATTAATCAAAATATGACTGTACTGCAAAAGTCTCTATTATTATTACATTTTCTTGTTTACTGATTTTCTAATCACAAAACCAATACAGCATTCTTTGTTTATTGTGATTTCATGTTGCGTTAATCGCATTCTTAATTTTAGGAGTTTCATTTCATGTTATATACCATTCAGTTATCAAAAATTTATAGTAATTTATGCATTTTATTACATTTTTTTTGGCAGGAGTAACAAGTCTATTTATACTCATTATTGGGAATTTTGTTTAAAACAAGATTTTCTATTGACACAACAACAAAGCCTAGATAAGAACTGACTGACTGATTGAGAGCTTCTTTCATGTATATATACCACCTTAGCTGGAAATAAATTAACACAATTTTGACACCTACTTTAATCCATCCTTGGCTTGATTTGACTGCTCCACCAACAGAATTGGCAGTTTTTGCGAGCTCCATCCAGATTTTCTTAAATTTACCACGTCCCATTCCCACTCTTAATTTTTTATGAGCTAAATCTGGATGTTTCTGCATAAATTCCACTACTGCTCGCACTTGTGCCAATGTTGGTCTTGAAACCTTTGATTGAATGATTTATTTAAATTCCTATTCAATGTTTTAATGAAGTCAACATTCCAAGTAAAAACAAAGGCACGTTATCTCTTTAACTCTAAGCCGATTTGATTAAGTCCCTTTTTTGTTTAAGTGTTATATGTATTTTTAAGTCATGAATTGGTTCATTCATATCATTATAAATTATGGCAAAATCCAAAATATTTGTTTGTTTTTATTAAATTCTATCTCATGGATAGATAGATAATAATATTGATAAGACAATAAATGAATATACAATAAGTTCCACTTACACCGACACTCTCAGAGTTTTCTACCTCGGAATCGGACATTTTCGGGTTCTAAGGGATCAAGGCAGTACTGAGTTATTACCACATTTGCTGCAAACAAAGTTATTATTCTTTAGCTGCCGAATGAAATTAATCGAATATTAGGTGTATTAAGTACATTTTATGTACGCATTTGCATTCCATAAACTATTTTATTTTACTCGGGTTTTGACTGTACATACATATTTACCTATGTACACACATATTTTTTGTATGTACCGTAATAAAATAAGTAAACATTGTAGGTAGTAGTAGTAGTAGTGTTTTATTTATCCAAATGGAAAGGCAAAGGTGTCGTACCATACAGCCTAATCTTTTATACATTTTTTTTTTTTTTTTATGAAATATGATACTATGAAATGAAATGAAGTTGATTAATAATATGAAACATGACATGAAATGAATTGAAATGAGATGAAATGATATAATATGGGATACTTTTATACAAAATGATAATATGAAGTGAAATGAAATGAAGATGATTAATTTGAGACATCAATCAACTGGGATGAAATTAAATGAAATGAATTGAGATGATATGGGATGAAATATAATCTCAGTAAAATGGTGGTCTTTTACTAAGACTTTTTCAGTGGACTTTTTGGAGGATCCCAAGAAGTTGCATCCAGCGGCTTTGTTTCATTTTCCCACATTTGTGCACTTTCACAGATATTAAACAGTTAATAAACCACCGTTATTACACATTTAAACCTGAAGAAACACTAAATAGACAAAATAAAACAAATCACACAACTTCACTCCTCGCCTTCCCGCCAAAAAGTCTCTAAACATTGTAGGTACCATGACATGGGGTAAATTGGGATCCTGGGGTAAATTGGGACAAACCTGCGGAAAATTCTCAAAGTACCTGTAGCACGGAATCTACCTAATTTTGTTTATGTTAATATTTATCAATGTATAGAAGAAAAACCAAGTTAACTATGGAAGTACTAAATATGAGTTAAGTTGGTCCCAAAAATTCGTCAAATTAAATTGAAAATAGTGGTTGAAAAGTGCGTTTTAAAACAGCTTACAGAACTTTTAAAAAAAGTAATATTATCGTTGTTTTTTCAATAAGATCACAGTTTATGTAAGTTTTTAATACACCTGGAAATACCACAACAAACGGTAAGTTGCAATATTCTTATTTTAAATACAATATTTCGACAAAATAAAAAATGTATATTTTTTCCTTTCTTTTTGGGGAAAATTGGGACGTATGTAGGGTAATTGGGAACGAGACTGGAAAAATTAGGGACGAGAAAACACAAAATTGGAACGCCAAAAGACAAAATAGGGATGGCTTGTTAGGGTTGTCACTGATATCTTATAATAGATTTTTTAGCCTATACTATCACTTAATTGCGTGATGTAAAGAAGGTTAATGTGTTNGGTACCGTACGGTATATATCTATGTAAAAAATATTTTTGTCTTGTTTAAAGTTCACAGGCAAAGATAATTATTATCTATGAAAGAGAACATGCAAAGAGCTTATTGGAAAATATGTGTTATTATTCGAAAAATGGAACGTAACAAACAAAATGAAATCAAAATAAAGGTCTTTGAAATCAAATTGATCATGGTATTAAATAAATCTGATTTTATTAAAGTTTTTTTAAGATTAAAAAAGAAATTGATGAGATTTCACTGACTTTTCAGGAGACTTTTTGAGAGAATCTGAAAAATACGATCCGAAAAATTTTGTTTCATTTATCCAAACAGTACTTTACTTTCACGAATGCTAATTAATAAGTAAGCCACTATTAGTTATACACAGCAATACTTTAAACCTGAAATAATAATGAAGGGCACAGAGCAGTACATAATAAAGCTTTTTTTTGCATCATGGACGTTTATACTCGCAAAATAAGAATGAAGGAATCGATTAAAATTTGCATCGATGTTAATCAAAGATGATTCGATAAATGTCAGTCAGCTGTCAAACAAAGTGAATTCTGAAATTACAAAACACAAAATTACCAAAATGTCTAATTCACTGGCATTATATATTTGCCTGTTAGATTGCTGAATGAAAATATTTGGTCTTTGTGATTGCTATGTATGTGCGATTCATCACCAATAAACAAAATATATTTACTGACTGACCTGCAAACTAAGGTTGGTAAATTGTGTTTGTCATGAATTTGAATCTTCTCAGTTTCAGCTGATCGTTGTTTACACGGCGTATATTTGTTTCAGAATTTATGAAAATTTCTTAACATCATGTATTCATTCGAGGGAGACTTTAGGCGAAAACCCCAACAAAATTTAGCAGGTGCAAGCGCGGCACGAAAGACCGATAGAGACTCTTTGATTCAACAAACACAGTTACAAAGACAAAAACGAGAGGTAAATAACCTGTACTAATAGTTCACCACACCACCCTGTACAAAGTAGATTCGGTGATATAATTAAACATTCAACTACATTTTTAGGAACACCGAAAACGTTTAAACAGTGTTATAAAAATTCAAGCATATTTTAGAAGCTACTTAATCAGAAAAAAATGTAAACAAGTAGAAAGGGACCAATTTGATGATATGTTTCCTAGAATTAATGTAGAAGATCAAACAACAATCTCAGCACTGTTAGCAAAAATATTTTTCTTCTATGATGACAAAGCTGATGTTTCTAGATTGGTAAGTTTAAAGTTCTAAATTTTTATTAAAAAAAATTATAAAATTTACAAAATATACTGGCAGTCTGTTCTTTCAGAATCTTAAATAGTATCAGAATATTAACTAGTATTGTAGATGTTACTGTACATTCTTAAATTTGTTTCATATAGGTATCAATATCACAATTGTTGTTAAAACAATGGAAAAAGGTCTTCCACAACAGTGGCTCTAGTATACAGATAAGAAGATTACTAGCATTACATTTGCGACTATTGAAGTATAACACAGAGGTGAGCAACAATTCTAGCCCAACATATAATTTGAATGTGATATAATTAAATTTTATGATTAAAAAAAACATTGAAAATGTTAATTTTACACTGATATTTCTGAACTCTAAAATACAATATACAATGCTGAATTTCAGTAAAAACAATTATAATCAGAGGCTATTAGGGTTTCACAATATTGAAACAGTCTACTAATTGAACGGAAAAACCATTTTAGATTTAACACATTTTCAAATGCTAGCCTGTTAATCAGCTTTTTTATTACCAATGTTAAGCAATAGCCTTTTGACTATTGATGGCTTTCTCTTTTGTAGTCACTATATGTACCTTTTCATATCCTTATGAATTTTAATATAGAGACTGTGGCTAAACCCGCCTTTGCTGAGCAAAAGCCTCAACCACAACTGGTCTTCAATAATGTGTTAAAATAATTTTGTAAAAATTCTATAGATGCTATAGATCAGCCTTTCCCAACTGCTGAAATAGCCTCTCAGCTTAGGTAGGAAAAAAAAACCTTTCCCAAAGTGAGTGATAATGCCCCCTTGTGGGCGCTGCAGGCCTAAAGGGGGACAGTAAGGGACCCAGAAAAAAAAATTGGGGGCACTGTGTAGAAGCTTGGGAGGCGATTTGTAACTTCATCTAGGAGGACTCTTAGACACCTACTGAGCTCTCGCTATAGTGGTTTTTGAGTAGGTGAAAAAATGGGGGCACTAAAAAATAATTTATTCTCAAAGTGGGCAGTACACAAAATAAGTTTGGGAACCCCTAGTATAGATGGTATTTAAAAAATCAATGTTCCAGGTGCCTTTAGCAGTTCCACTCAGAATGTTTGAAGTATTCACATCCACTAGTACAGTAGAAGCAGCAATGAACTGTGATGAGGCACTGAGATTTGTTGCCAATACATTCTTGTATTTAATTAAAAGAGGTATGTTTGTACACATCATGCTATTGTTGGCATAACAACTCAAATTAACATTCAACAGTTTCAACAAGTTTTATAAGAAAGAGATATTAATAATTCATTAACATAGTTTTCTGACACTAAATTACCTAAATTTTCTTTCTTAAAATAATCAGCTTTCATTTGTTGTTAAAACTCAATAAATATTGTGATGAAGATGATAGCAATAAAGACTTCAGTAAAAGTTAAAAAAAAAACATGATCTTTGATCTTGTACTTTTTTATAAATTTTCAGGCTATTTCATGGATCTGTGTAAATTAATATGTGAAAAGACCCCACCAATGTATGGTCCATCACCAAACCCACCCACCCCATTAAGCGGAGCACTTTTAGAGTTAATTCAGCGCCCTCTGTCACTGATCCTGCGAGTGAACATTCCTCAGTATGAGTAAGTTGCTTATTATTTATTTTATAATATTAATTTTAACTGAAATAATGATAAGTAGCATTTTGGCTGTTTCCCTGGTACTCCTCATGACTATGACTAATCAGGTGAGCCATATGCTTGTGTATCTTCCAGGGCAACATAAATATATATCATATCATAAATCATAAATATATATTATCTCTATATCTTATACAGCTTTGCAAATTTTATTCGTAGTAAGTTCTTTTCAAGGTAATTATACAGAAGATATTTTTTATATACCTACACAGTATTTTACATAAGAGCCAAAGAAGATAAGCAATGAAATAATATTCCCCTTTGACCTTCTGTTTTGTTATGTTTTACAAGATGCAAAAACAATGATGATTACAGGAAAAAGTTGTATGTTTACTTTATTGGAAGGTATTGCATTTGTAAANTTCGTAGTAAGTTCTTTTCAAGGTAATTATACAGAAGATATTTTTTATATACCTACACAGTATTTTACATAAGAGCCAAAGAAGATAAGCAATGAAATAATATTCCCCTTTGACCTTCTGTTTTGTTATGTTTTACAAGATGCAAAAACAATGATGATTACAGGAAAAAGTTGTATGTTTACTTTATTGGAAGGTATTGCATTTGTAAAAACTTTGCCATAGAACAGTTTTGGTTTTAGCACTCTATATTAAAATCCGAGGGTTCAATATTGACAAGTATTTATTTTGTTTCAGAGATACAGTAACAACAGAGTTTACTGCGGCATTTTTGTGCAATCCGTATCCAGAACCAGTAGAAATGTTTATATTACCATCTCTAGCACAGGATACCACAAAGAAACTATCATTCTTAGCATTAATAAAGTGTTTACAAGACGACAACAAATATCATAGTAAAAAGATTATAAACGATTCTTGGTTATTGCATTCGGTTTTGGTTTTGGAGCCCCGGCAATTTAGTAAGTATTGATGATATTGTTATTGCTTTAAAATCTAACTAAAAATTCATGGCATAAATAGCAATTCAATAAATGCCAATTTTCCTATATTATTTCACAGCCTATCTAATGATAAGTAGATACTGGATTTAGACTACATTAAAACTGGAACAGATGATTATTTAGTGATTGGCAGGACTATAGTACAAACTTGTTGATGGCCACGATCTCTTTTGCCAGCAGTTATTTTGTTTCGATGTTAAGAGACCACACAGAATTTATAGACTTGTTTATATAAGGCACTAATATGTAGTTCATTGACATGAATATTAAACTTGTGAGTGTATTGTATATCATGAAGTCTACAGTTAAAACAGATATAATCACTAGAGAGATCAGAATATTAATGTCAAACATTATGACATGGCATATTTCCATTTTCAATGTGACATTAGCTGCCATTGCATTTACTGAACCAAGTTGCTCGTTCCTAACACAGCTTAATATGAAATATTTTTTACAGTAAGTGAAATAAAAAATATTGACAATACAAGATTGCCAAGCAATAGAATAGTAATAGAATACCTTAAGGTAATAGCTAGATTGACTGAGAATGTGTGCAACAAACAAATCACCTACGAATTTGAAGACTCACTGTACAGTCAAGAAACTGCAGCGGACAAAGATGATGAAAGTGACAGCGAAACCGAACCGAATCCCACCTCTATTCGTGAACAGATGCTGCTGACGCGGTGTATTGAATTATTGAATGATCCAGAAAGATGCATTATGGTCATCATATCTCAAATAACAGATAATGATTTAAGTGAAGAATTTTTAGAGTACATGTCTGAGATCTGTCACAATTTGCTTTTGAGTCATCGTATGGCTTTGCATAAGTACAGGTAATTATTAATGAAAAACATAAAAATATTATTTCTAGTTAATCTGCATCATGTCATATTTCGTCGGCTTATTGCAAGAACTCATTAACTGCAAAAAATCACTAAATGCGTTTTTATCTATAATGGGCTTATTTTTGCATATTCTACAAAATGCAAAAACACACTAATTCCTAGCTGGCCAATTTTAGCCGTTACGTCTTTGGTAGAAAATTTATAATTGCAACTTTGGAAGTCAGGCATTTACAAAGATTCACTAAGCAGCACTAGTTATTTTTATTAAATGGATAATTATTTGTAAACAGCATACATTACATTACAGAACTCATTTTCAGCATCTAATTAATTTTATCAAAACAAGTTTAGTATAATATAGCCTAAAATTGTATTTCGATAAAATTCATTATTTACATTTAGTTAGTTTCTGTTATGAATCATTTCATCACAAATGCACAATAAGTAATCTTAATGATTTTTATCGATATTAATATAATTTAAATCATGATATTAAGATTTCCATAAAATCATTTATTCTTTTACATTATTTTTTCATTTTGTTGATGGCATGATTTTAATAAGTTAACATCGATTAAAATAACATAGTAACTTCTTGCAGGCTATGTGGTTCCTCGATTGTAGTTCAGTGAGTTATATAGGGTTTGTTGAAATGCGACAAAAGAGCTTGTTTAGGGAACATGGGGCATAGGACGAACCCGGGTGAGGGTGGGTTTGCGCGGGACGAAAGAGTACTGCTTCGCTCGGTCAGTTTGCGGCGAGATACGATGATTACCACGCCTTTTATAGAAGTTAATGATTTCTGACAAAATGCAACGAAATCAATGTTTCAAACAAGGACGAGGAAACAAGATGTTGGAGCAATTGAAGTTCCGAACAACCTTCGCACAACCTAGCAAGCAAAAATGGAACAATTTAGATTTAGATTTCGGGTCTCAAGATAGGTGGTGGCATTCACATTAACACCAGCCTTTTTTATATTTTTTTAGAATTGAAGGGTTACTGGTGGCCCGGAGGCCTTTCCAGTTTCACCAGGACATGTGGGGTAGCAAAGGCTCAGCCAAGAGGGGTGGGATTTGCTAACAGCCGTCCAAGCGCCTCCGAAGAAGAACTAACAACTCAAGAGCAGCTGCTTCGCGAATAAATCTACTACCCGATCGGAATCACGACCCACTAAGAAGATCCGGCGAGAAACTCAACGAGCTGATGCAAAAGCGTAATCAGTTTCTGTTATGCTTAATGCTATACTTAGTTCAAATTATCGACCTTGAGGTGATTGAACATAAGTATTTAGAATTGGGCCACACACATATTATTA